GCGGTTTCAAGCCGATGATGCTCATGTGGCCTTCGTGTTCATCAAAACCAATCATTAAATGCTCCGCTGTCAGCAGGTTGCCGCTGCAAATTGCCAGGCTGGACAAGAAGAGTTGATGCTCTGTTCCCCCTCTGTCTGTTTTACACGCGGGATGCCTCTGGCAGGGGAGGGACAATTTCAAGATGGTCACACCACCAATTTCCGCAAGGGGAATTGCAGAGGGGGTGGAGGTAATCTCACCCTTGCTTTCCTGTAACACCTGCCAGCAGCAGTGTTCCAGCAGGAGCGTTTATGTGTTGATGAGGGCAATTTGCAGCTGCAGGTGTGGTAGCACGTTGGGATCCCGCTAGCTGGTCAGTACCCGACGGCATGAGTTGCTGTTCGGATGCTGGGTTGCTTGGAGATACTGGCAACCCAGGAGGTGGAGGGAGAGCAGCGCGGGCAGCAGCGCTCAGGAAGCCATGGCTCTGGCAGGGCTGCTTCGTCCCCTCCCGGGGTGCTCAGCTCAGAGCTGGGGCAGGAACGTCTCTGTGCTGGACGTTACGGGGCAGCTGCCTGGCGGCAGAGAGCTCGGGAGCGCTGTGCTGCCCACGGGCTGGGAAACCCAGAACTAAAACCTGCAGGGGACTTCTGCAGCCTTTCCATAAGCACTCTTTATTTTTGCAGAGCTGTTTGGTATCATGAGAAAGCCTTTGCTTGTTTGGGTTTTTTTTGACTGGTAAAAGGTTGAATTAAAAAACACTGACCGGCACTCTCCAGGATATGTTTTATTTTTAAATTAGGTTGTAGTATGTATGTGCTATGTTGGATGTATTATTCTTTGGCTTAAGAAAATGCTGGGTTTGGCTACATGCACCTTGTTTGAAAAAAGCAACGAACCCACAGCCCCAAAAAGCTGGTATGCATTTACTTGAACACCAACCCTAATTGGTTATTTTTCTAAGCCTTTAATGGCTGGTAAGTGCACCCTTCTCAGAATAAATCAGAATAGCGATCCCACTGCCGGATCTGGAGAAGGAGAGCATGGTGCCTACACCCCTATGTGACACTGCACACCTAAAAACTGCGCTAGAAGAGCTTTGGTAAGGTTGAAAGTCAAACACGGAAAAGTTAGAAAATAGCAGCGCTAAGGTTCCTTGTGCAACCTTAATTTGCCCCCCTGGCGTGTATGCATTATTATACAGTCTTTAATTACAGGGTCCCATGCTGGTTTCTCCACAGGGTCCCTGCCTCCCTCAGTGCACAGAATGGACTTTGCTCACTTAATGAGCAGCTATTCATTATTTTGTTTTCTCTTCATTGTTCAGTGTGTGCCCTTCTGCCTTATTTACCAGGCTCTATTCAAGCCCTGTTCCAGAGTCAGAATTATTAATTTCCTCTTGAACTTCTGCCGATCTCATCGGTATTGTATCAGAGCAGTTGATGAACAATTAATTAATTTTCCCCAAACCTCTGTGAGATGAAGGGATGTTTTAAAGATGGGGAAACAAAGCGCAGAGAGATTAAATACAAAAGAATAACTTGTCATTTTAGGGGCCAATTAGAGCTGGCACAGGCCCGTTTTTTGCCCCTGAATGTATAGCATCCTGCGGCACGTCCTTTGTTCAGAGGGCAGCTCCCTCTGCCTCCAGATGCTGCTCCCGCTGCTCCACTGCCGCATTGCACAAGGGTTTCCTTGCTGGGCTGACCTTGGTTTAAGTGGGCATCTCGATGTCCATACAGCCTAGCTCTCCTTGGGAGCATTCAGCTGCTTTAGCTGTATGAGCCCCTTTTCTTCTCCTGGTCCCAGCTCGTGTTCCACCTTCTGCAAGGGGACACACAACGCCTCCGTTGTCATGAGCCCTGGCTTCATCCCTAGGACCAGTCTTGACCTGAATTAAGCAGGTGACTTAGCTACCTCATCTCCCAACATTTAGTGCTTGCTTTTGCTAGCATGATGATGTTCCTTCTAAGCACCCAGACGCTCCAGGTTTCTTTCCATTCGGTCTGTCTCCCAGCCCCTCCCTCCCCATTTCTTGAGGCTTGAGAGAAAAGCTTTCTCCAGATGGATTTTACCGCGAGATCATGAATCCACCCCACAGCTTTGCCCGAGTCCCACAGTGGTCTGGATCCCTTCTCCTCTCCCCACTCCTCTGCTCTGCGGCTCCTTGACCTGACTCCTCCTGGCTAACTGTATCCATGCCAGGGAGGCATCTTCGGAGGTACAGGAGCCTGCTCTCGAGCCAGGGCAATCGCCTTTTCCGCTGTTTCCATCTTCTCCGCCAGCTGCAG